ACCCCTTCACTGACCATCTGTAAGAATGAGGATCAAGATGAGAAACAAAATTCTGAGTGAACTTCCTCTTTCTGTCGGTACAGGAAACAGAGACACACATATACACACAGAAACATGAACATCTTTTTAAGATATTAACATACCTGTCCTCTGAGTACTTGTCCGTGTGCTTGCTCATGATGTCACAGTGATGTCACGGTGTGTACTGACCAGCATGTAGGACCCACTGGACGTCGCTGTGTGTGTGTCAATGTCACAGCTTCCTCTCTCTCTCTCCCTCTGAAGGAGTTCCCACTCCAACTCTATGCCATTCACCCGCTCTCTCCCTCTTTGCTGGACAGGTTTGGCTGCATTTCACAGCAAAGCCACCACCTGATTGGCCGACGCTCACCTGCTCTGTGTGGACAGGTGAGACTGCAGATCAGCTTCAGTGTGACTTCATTAATGTCAACCAACCAGCTGCCGGGGATATTTAAAGCAGGAGGAAGTGCCGGGTGTCCTCCAGGTCCTACTGCCCACCACCTGATGCGCTCAGTAAGTTTCACTGTCATAATACAATTTATTATCCTTTTATTAAATTAGAGTATGATTCTAATGTATTATCTGTTTTTTATAGACTTCAGGAGGAAAACCTGAGAGAAATAAAAATAATCATGCTGAGAATGATAATTTTTTCCATTCACTTTTTTCATTCAAACATTTTACCGTATATCTAATCAACTTCACATCACTTCTTTTCAATACTGTAATGTAAAACCTAAAAAAAAAAAAACCCATACTTACTTTAAATTAAATTTCAAAAATATGACCTGAGAAGTTACAAATTTGTCTTGGGCACTGAGAAATTTGACTCACCATCTCAAAATTTTACTATTTTCTTTTATTAGAAATTAGTGAAAAAGTGAGTGTCCCATCCATGTGAATTAAAAAAAAAAATCACCTGAACCTTCTGATCACATCATCTGGGCTTAGTGTCACATACTTTCAATACTCTTGTCATCATTTTATTATCTCATGGTTTTATTTTCAGTGAAGTAAAAAAAAAAAAAAAAAAAAAATTTTAAGTATAAAAAATTACTAGCTAGACTTCTTTTTCTTTCGGCTGTTCCTGTTAGGGGTTGCCACAGCGAACCATCTGTTTCCATCTAACTCTATCCTCAGCATCCTCTATTCTCACCCCAGTTAATATATATATTTCAGTTCGTTTCTTAAAAAGTCTGAATTTGACTTCTTATTTTTTACTTTGTGTCAAAAATTTCATTTGGCTTGTGAAAATTCCTTGGCTTCAGTACTGTAATTATGAATAAAAAAAAACAAACAAAATCTGTATTGTAATTTTGAGTTTTACAGAAACTGAAGATCTTTTAGTGAAAATTTTAGTGAAGTTTAGTGAGGATGAACTTAATTCTGACCAAAATCTGATCCTGGATCTGAACACCTCTGCTGTCATTAGGCACTGATTAAAAGCTTAGACACACAATGACCCCTGACCTGCAGCGTCTCTGTCAGGTCTAACTGTACATGAAATCACTGGACTCTGTTCCAAACAGAAAGTTCACCAAATTTTTGGTTTTCAGACACTGTAATGTTTCTTCAGTTGGACCTGGATCGCACTTCTCCATGTTCCTATTAGGAAATGTGACGAGTCAGTGAAGCAGCAGCTCTCAGCCTGAAGCTGTTGCTGCCACGTTAACAGCTTTTTCCTGTTTCTTGCTGTCGACACGTTTGGGCTTTCAACTTAATAATGACTGTCTTAACAAAGCCGGTTTCCCAACATTAATACGTTGTGTTGTCTGACATGACTCCTCTGACATGACTTCCTGTTGATCAAACCTTCAGTTCTGTACAGTGTCAGCGGGACGTGAAGAGTCTGAAAGCAGCTGCACAGATTCAACAAAAAATATAAATCAAACCAACAGTCAGAAGAAAATTAACTGTTACCCTGTTTTCACATCTGTTTCTTTTATTCTGTAACATCCTGTTGCTGCAAACTCATCAGTTCCTCCTACTGTTTCACAATAAAAGCCTTAAGGTCTTTCCAGGCTAGCTGGAGAGTATCTGCTCCTCACCTGAAAAGTTTTGGAAATCAGGTAGTAGCAGAAAAGACAAACAGCTGCTGTCAGATGGTTTCTCACAGGGACTCACAGCCATGTTTACATCCTGTCAGATTTGATCCTGATGAACACCTCAAAGCCTCTCTGTGCAGAACCTGACCAGGCCCTAAAACAGGTTTAAACATTGCTGTAAAAACCTTATATTTAAAAACAAGGAGCCTGGAGACATCAGGATGTTACCACCACATTATAGTACCACAGGATTTTTGGCATTAATCTAAAACAATTTGTAAAACAATCAATCAGTTTTCAAAATTGTTGCCAATTAATAATCAGCTCCAAAGTCTAGCTTGGTTTCTGGGTAATGAAATGACAGGAACAGTTGGAGTTAGCAGCAGCTCAGCGACAGGTTTTTGCCCTGAGGCCCCTCAGGAGTTCGTCCGACCATGAACAGCAGCAGTGAGCTCTGCTTCAGACCAGTAACAGTTTCCTTTAACTCAGCAGAAACATTTCAGAGTTTAACAAAAGGAGCCAACAGCTCGCTGGGCTGATTCCATGTCACTTATCACCCGACAGCAGCTTCTGTTTGTCTTCACCAACCCGAACCCACACAGTGAGCCACAGTCCTGTCTGCAGTGCCACCTTGTGTACGACAAGTGGAGCTGCTCAGGTGTGTAATGATTTGCTGCAGCGAGTAAAACTGTGCTACACAATCAAAGGAAAGTCCCACACACTGTCTTTAAAAAAGTCCTTAAGTTCTGAATGTAAGCTTTTTGTCCAGGGGGAGTTTGGTGCAAAGATCCTGTGACTGCAACCCCCTGCAGACCTGAGTGTTCACACCGACGAGTCAAAGACGTGTCTGATTTGCAAGATCAGATATCATCTCCACAATGTCTAAATTAAACCCAATCCACTGTTTATCTGAAGGAAGTTTCAAACATGTTTGTCTGGATTTTAGCAGGTTCTGGATCAGACAACAGGAATTTGTGTTCAACTCTTCATATGTTCACAGCAGCATGTGACGTCATTTAAAACACATGGTTGGTCCCAAAAGACACAAACCTCAAAGTGGATTTTTTTTTTTTAATGTCCATGTTCAGATTTTTATCTAGAACATAAAAAAACCTTCAGTGACAGAAAACGCCTGTGTCTCTGCTACCTTCACTCCTCACGCCGTCGGCAGGTCGGAGGTCACTTCTCTCCTCTGTCAGCCACCATCTTGCTAAACTTCTCCTCCAGGTCCTGAGCATTGATGCGAGGCAGCCCGTCGTCCAGAGGACAGCCCTCTACCAGACTGTTCATCGGGGTAGGAGGAACCCGAGCCGCCTCCTCCTCCTCCTCCTCCACACCTCCGTCCTGCTCCTTCAGGAAGTCTTTCACGATGGGGAGGATCTTCTTACGAGATGCCAGACTGTTTCCTAGCAATTCAATAAAGGCACAAAATGACGACAGACATACACAGGCTTTACCTTTAGTCTCACTGTTTTCTTTTGTTTATTTCACAATAAACAAATGTGATCGGCTACAAAGTTCACTGCAGAATTGACCGCTGAATTCTGGGTTTTCCAGGAGATTTTCAGGACATTTCCAGTGACAAGGCTGGTGGCAACAACTGTTACAAAACCTGTAACTACAGGACTGAGGTCACACCAACTACTGCTGGTGAATATGAATGAATTCATTCTTGGGTGTTTTTAGCTACAGTGTGTAAAGTCGGCAGCACCTTGGTTTTGCCTGCTGCAGAAGGACCAGACACTGTCAGGAGGAACGTCAGCGGTGCAGAGCAGCTCAAGCTGGGGCCTAGCTGAGTGTTCACCAGTAAATTCTGATCAGGCTGCAACTACAACATGAAACCAGCAAACTACAGGCAGCACTACTAGGTCAAAGAAACGATAGGACAGGCACAGCCAAAACAACCCTTAAGCTGTTGATGGGACCAAAACTTGGATCAAAACGAAAGCGAAGGATCTGCCCACCATGCTGCAAGCGTCCAAAAAAGTGCTACTTCGTGTCCTCAGCATTGTCCCAAAAACACATGCAAGCACAACTGAAGTTAATGCAACATAATAGAAGTAACAGCAGCAGCTTACCCTGAACATGATCAATCATCTTTAAGACTTATCTAAATCTGTGTAAGACCTTTTCAGGCTGAGTGGTGGCACCATATCAGCTCACACACACATCCACGACCAGACGTGTACTAAAAGAGCAGTGCACCCTGCATGAGCTTCCATACAGCAAGATTTTTATTTTACACATGTGCACCTAACACAGTGACTGCAATGCTTCATGGGAGTTGCAGTTCTTCAGATTCACTCTTTAGTTGCTAACACAGTGAGTGGAGGAGGCTAACCCGGACTGAGCAGTTCCAAACACTGGTTGCGCTATGTAGACCTGCACCCCCATCCGGCAGCTCACCTTGCTGATAGGCTAAGATGTGAGGGTGGGGGCTGCTGATTGGCCTGAGGCTGAGGGCGGGGTTTCGGGCCTGTTCCAGGTACTGGCTCACCTGAGGAAGGACCACACGAGTAGATGTAACACCAGGTATACTACATAGTATCACCGTGTAGTATCAGTGTGTTTTAGGTGCCGTACCAGTGCATACCTGTTCCCTGCAGGTGGTGCTATGGCTGAACACAGCGAGTTCTCTGATTGGCTCTTTGCTCTCAGTGAAGGAGATGGTCATCAGCAGCAGCAGATCAAATCCAAACTTCTGACAGAAACCTGAGAGCTCTGCCTCCAGCTCTGCCCTCTGAAGGAACTCCTAAAAAACATGTTTCACATTCAAGTATTGCAGTATATCCAGAGGGACAAACTTCATTTAGAAACAGTAGCATGTAGCAGAGTGTAGGGGTCTGTAGTATTATGTAGTACAGTGCGGTAGGAACTGACCTCCAATGTGATGTAAAGAACAGAGATGGCGAGATGCAAACCTCCTGAAACAACTTTCATGTCCTTCAACAACATCTGTTCAGTGTTCAGACCTGAGGATGAAATACTCCATGTAATACTTTAAGATACTGCAACAAATACTTCCAAATATTTCAAGAGATGCTTCAAACACTCACAGTACTTCCACATGCTGCATCAAATTCTCCAAACATGTATGAACCTATTAACAGTGAGCAGTGCTTTCCAAAAGACTGCAATACCTGTTTCAAAGGTACTATAAATACTTGCACTGCTGTGATAAATACTTTACTCTGTCTCGAGTAAAGGCCTTCTCTGCTTGACATGCGTTTGTAGATTAACAGCTGTCCTTGGGTACAGGTGTGTGCAGATACTGTGACTCACCTGAGACGTCAAACTTGGCGTTCTGCAGCGCCTGGAAGAGAGCAACCCTCGGTGGCAGAGCGGGAAAACGGGTCTCCAACGCAGCAGCGTACTGACTGTCTTTAGGAGTCACTTTACCTGCTGCAGGTGCCATGTTCACACAGTCCAGCACAACTGTTGCTACAAACATAGCCAATCACACTGATCACTAATCAATGCTCTGTGGAAACCAGCAATACTGACAAACAAAAGCTGCAACAACAATGAAGAGAGTTGCACAGGTGAGGCGACCATTTGTGCAGGTGTTTACCATAGAGCAGCTGAGCAAGCTGCTGGTCCAGGATCTGTGGAGCTTCCTGGATAATGCGTTCAGTTACCAAGGTAGCGCAGGACCCCACCATCTCCACGGTAACACGACAGGAGGGGGAGGGCTCTCTCTCTAGCACATGGTGGTCAATCACCTCCACCACCGCTCCCTCCAGATCACTGTCCAAACTGCAGGAGAGAGATACAGGATAATGTAACAGGTGTGTAAGCACACCTCTCAGACTGTGACTACCCGTCAGTCAGGTGTTTGTACCTGGGCAGGATGTTGTGGTCCACCAGTGTCAGACGCAAGCGGCCGGCTTTGTGCAGCGCTCTCAGGTCCAGCTGGTCCCTGAACAGCAGGAGGTCCGGAGACAAACCAGTCTGTCGCAGCAGGAAAACATTGTCGGAGCGCAGCAACAGGTCTGACTGAGGGATGTTCAGCAGAGGGAGAGCAAGCATCTCACTCTGCATAGTCTGAGAGAGGGAGAGAGGAGGTCAGGACTGGCAGAGTAATTCATACACCACTGCACCACTGACCTCTTGTTGAACAAGGATGGGCCTCTCATGTTTCCTGGAGTTTGTTTAGTAGCTGGAGGACAACAGTGGAGGTCTACGGCGCAGAGCGATAAGCTAAACCAGGGTCTGGACTCACACACCTTACGGTGAGAGCACCACATTCACTGGTGCTGCTGGTCTCTGGACTGGGGTTGTGGAGCATTACTACTGTACTGATGTGGAAATGACATCACACTGAACTGACCATATGAGGTCATGTAAGAGGCTATGCCTTATTATTTAAATATCAGCTTTTCTATGAGAGTTCACTGCACAAATAGGTGACTGGCAACATGTTTCCGTCTGAGTGCAGGACGTCTGAAATGGCGTGGTCCAGATTTACCAAACACAACCAGCTACGTAACTCAAATGGAAAGACGGTAAATGTCTATATTTCACTAAATATACAGTACATAGAGTTGTGTTCATCTGATCCCAGGTCTGATCAGACAGTCTCACCTTTGACAGAAAGTAGGCAAAGGCCAGAGCGGACACCATGGAGTCCACATCGCAGGCCTCGTTCCCCAGAACCACATGGAACCCTGGTCCTGCCTGGTCTGCGTTCACCTGGACAAGGAGACCAGGAAGCACCATTCAGTTCTGGTCATTTACTTATTGTAACGTTGCAAAGTGCAGGTCTACCAGTGGTTCCTCGAGTCCACAGAAGTAGAACGGGAGGCAGAGCCTTTAGCTGTCAAGCTCCTCTCCTGGAGGAACCAGCTCCCAGTCTCAGTTCAGGAGGCAGACATCCTCTCTACCTTTAAGACTGGACTTTAGACTTTCCTTTTTGATAAAGCTTATAGTTAGGTTGATATTATTGTTCTATCAATTATTATATGGAATAGTGTTATAATATTGTATAGTGTTATGTAAATGCTGTTTGTATTTATACATAAAATTATATATTGTAGTGTTGCATATGTGCATTGTATGTACTATATAAATACATACAAACAATATGTATATATGTATGTGTACTCTGAATATGTATATTGTGGATACTGAAAGGTACTCGTAATGTTGTGATACAGTGCCTATAAAAACTATTCACCCCCTTGGATGTTTTACCCTTTTATTGATTTTATAAATCAATCATGGTCAATATAATTTCTTTTTTGACAAAAAAATAAGTACAAAAAACCTCTGTCAAAAGTGAAAACAGGTTTCTACAAAGTAATGTCAATTAAATAAAAATATGCAATGGGAAATAAGTGATTGCATAAATAATGACTCCCTTTAAAATGACTGAGCTAATTTAACAAAGGTCCAGCCTCTAAACTGACAAAATGTGACACAAAACAAGCCAGATAAACAAACAAACAGATATGGTGTGTGTGTGTGGGGGGGGGCATTAATTTTGTGAAGTGATAGAATTCGTCTCATTGCTTTTTAAGGATAGTAAGATTATAATACTCATACTAGTGAAAATAAGTGTTAAGTCTATGGTTGATTGTACAGAAACCAAAGAGAGTTTTAAAAGAAGATATTTCAGTTCGACCTGCCCCAGGAGCTGTAGATTACAGTTCTACAGCGGAATCTTCGAGTCTGTTCTCTGCACCTCCATCACTGTCTGGTTTGGCTCAGCAACCAAACAGGACAAGTACAGACTTCAGCGGACAGTCAGGACTGCAGAAAAAGGTCATTGGTGTGAGCCTGCCCTCCACTTCACGGGTCAAAAGGAGGGCGGAGAGGATCACTGCAGACCCCTCACACCCCGGATACAATCTGTTTGAACTCCTTCCCTCTGGATGGTGTTACAGGTCAATGTGCACCAAGACAACCAGGTACAGGGACAGTTTCTTCCCCCAGGCTATCACTCTGATGAACACTTAACAGTATGACAATAACCCTCAGTACAATACCTGTAAATATGCCTCGTACAGATTATACAGATTCGTACACATCTTTATTTTTAAGTACTCTGTTTTTATCTCATTTCAATGAGCATTCCTTTGTTGTTTGCATTGTTTACTGTCTGTTTATACTGCTTATTCTGTATTGTTTGCACTGTTTGTTGCTGTTAATACTGCTTATTTTGTTATATTACACAGCCTTATGCTGGTTTACTGTTTGCACATTGAGAGCCGATGTACCCGAGTCAAATTACTTGTATGTCTGTCACACCTGGCCAATAAAGCTGATTCTGATTGTACAGTTTCTGAAAATGCAGTCATAAAAACTCTACACCTTTTCCTCAGAAGGTTAAATTTCTCTTTAACTTAACACCAGATCCATTACCCACAACCAGAACAGGTCTGTCTGCTGATATTCAACCGTTTGCATCAAATCATCCTCCCAAAAACGTTAGTGATTCTCAGAAAAGGGAAAAAAATTAAAAGCATCACATGAACTACAACCTTCTACAGAAACCAGAAAGGTGAGACTTAAGAGTAAAACAACCGAACACTGTTTTTATACGTTTTTACTTTTGTGTCAGACACTGCCAGCTTTGCGTTTTCTGAGTATAATTTTGTTCAAAATTTTTAATACAAGGGTGGTGTGCTGGTTAGCGCTGTTGCCTCACAGTGAGAAGGCTCCGGGTTCGAGCCCCAGCCGACCTGGGACCTTTCTGTGCGGAGTTTGCGTGGGTTCTCGTCGGGTGCTCCGGCTTCCTCCCACGGTCCAAAGACATGCAGCATAGGTTGATTGGTGTCTCTAAATTGCCCGTAGGAGTGATTGTGTGTGTGAGTGGTTGTCTGTGTGTTAGCCCTGTGATGGACTGGTGACCTGTCCAGGGTGTACCCCGCCTCTTGCCTGCAGCTGGCTGGGATTGTCTCCAGCCCCCTGTGACCCCGTTTGGGACTAAGTGGTTTGGAAAATCGATGGATGGATTTTTAATACATTTGTATACTGTCCAATTATTGATATGACCGGAAGTGTATTCTGAAAGTTGTGATTGACCGGAAGCCCTTCAGTAGAATCTTATGCATCTTCACACACCTGTGCATAATAAATAAACGACTGTTGGTGTTGTGTCGCAAGTGGACAGCACAAAGAATTGCGACGGTATTAATTCATTAGAATTTCTCCTCCACAGACAGGTAAACAGCGGTATATGTACCGATGAAAAGAGATGTGACACTCTAAACAAAGTGGGTAACTGAGAAACTCCATATTGTATCTGGCATAATGCAGACATAGTAGCTTCTCCAGTTTTACAACAATTCTCTCTAATGCTAAAGAATCAACACATTAACAGACATGTCACGTGTTTTTTTGTTTTTTTTTTACTTACCGTTACGTCCCACCGATTAGTGGAATTAGTGGAAACATCACTCCCTTTCAAGTAACTCCAAGGTCAGTAAATCCAACCGGTGGTCACTGAGCCGAGCGCCGAACCCCCCCAAATACATTCCCAAAGTAATAAAGTTAATTCCAACAGGTAGCTCCGATAATAACCTCAATTCACAAATTGGGCGCAGTTGAAAAATTCCACTTTTATAATAGCACAGTGGATATTTTTGAAATATTTTTTAAATTATTTTTTACATTGCTTTACTGAAAATATACAGAACTAGAAACGCAATATAACATTTTGCCAATATGATTAAGGCACCGGCGGATGTCAGGCAAGCTGAATGCTTAACAGCCTGGATTTATGCCCATTCAACGAAATACTTCATTTTGCTTTTGCGAGACTTTGCTTCTGCAAAGAAAAACTACAACATACGATCGCCTTGTTTTTTAGCTGTAGGTCACGTCTAAGATGAGAATTCAGCGTTGTAACATTGTAGATAAGTTAAAAAAAACACACACACAAGGAAAAGCATGCTACGGGCCCTTTAAACTGTATAAGCTAACAGGCTAACACATCTAACAGGGGCTATTTGCTGGCTAACGCTAATGAACGTGTTTTACCTGCGCAGCTCGACGGCAGCTCGACAGAAATTCCTCCATATCCTGCTAGCTGCTAACGTCCCCGCTCTTGCTGCTCCTCAAAGTCAATTCGGTTAACGGATACGGTAAACTGTTTCAGCCGGCTCACCAAACAGCGGGCTGACAGCCTCAAACACTGTTATCGTTAACCACAACGCATGACTACCAGGATTGCGGGAATGTTGTTGGTGTTGCGGGTAAAAGGTCATGATGCTTTTAGGGTCATGTTTAAATCTCGGAAATACGCGAGTTCGCTGCTGCTGTTTTCTGCTGAGAAAAATCAAACCCATAAAAGAGAAAACAGAGTCTGTCCGTGCCTGCTGCTGTTTACTGTTGGTGTTGTTGGTGCAGAATAAATAAATGAAGCAGTAAAGTTGTGGTTTTATGAAAAAGTAAATATTTTCAAAAGTTGTAATTTTCTGAGATGCTAATTTTAAACTCATTAGGGGAAACAGTATTATTCTTCTTTCTGAAGACATTTGGTCAAACAAACTGTTATCTCAAATCTTAGATTAGTGTCCACCAGCAGCAATAAACACGTACAGCATAAAAACAGACGGGTAGGAGGTAAAACAGACCTCAAGTTTACAAGGTGAAAATGAACATTTTCCAGTGTAGGGCACAAGAAACTGTGGAACATGTTTTTATGAATTGTCCCAGCTTCAGGAGGGAGAGGCAGTTATTTAAAAATACAGTTTTTTAGCAGTGGAATGAACTTGAGGAGTTGACAAAAAGCTAAGGGGATTTAGGATAGAGCACTTATTAGGCTTTTAGAGAATACAGGGCTAAGCAAGTGAACTGAGTGTGTTTTTTTTTTAATATGGTAATATTAAAATAAAACGGTAGTAGGCCGTTCTGATCCACACTCCAGTCTAGAAGGTGGCGGTAATGTACCTAAAGCCGTTTGCCAACCGCGATTATATAGAAATGAGCATAGCAAGGCGGCATGGCCGAATGGAACTATGGGTAATGTAGTGTTTTTCAGTTTCTTTTGTAGTTCGACCGCTCTTGACGCACAAATGCTTGTAGACTATCTGAAATGGCCCAGCAACAAACACTTATTTTCATTATCAGTCATCTGTTGATTAGTTTCTCAATCAATCGTTTGATTCATAGAACATCTGAAAATGATAATGAATGCCACAGCTTCAAATATTGTTTTATGTCTGACACCAGTCCAAAACCCTAAAGTATTCAATTGAATGTTAGTGTTTCACAAAGGTGTAGTTTTGCATATGGACAGTAGGGACATGTCCCCACCAATATTTTATGAGGACAGAAACATCCTTACCAATATTAAAGCAAACACGTGCACAGTATCTTTGGAGTGAAGTCATATTAGATCATTACCATATGCTTGACCTATTGAAAGAGAGGACATGATCTAAAGCTCAGGTTACGTGCAAATGTCATATTTACTCCCAGACACCAAGGAGGTAATAGTATGGAAGCAAATCTGCACCATAATTTTGAGGGTGTTTGAACCACATTTTGAGTACTATTGGGTTTGCAACTCAGCATTTGAAAGCATGCAGACATGCAGATTTGTAAGTGCAAATACAAATTTGGCAGTTATACAGGCAATGCGTGCTCTCAGACTCCTCTACTGCAGTTTGTGTGAGTCTGTTTGCACCAGAAGTTTTGAAAGCGCACAAAACAAGATGAGAGAGAGAGAGATATTTTACTTTAATGGCTGTTCTGGGCTCAGCTTGACATTTTCTGAGCCAAAACACTCATGTTCAGGTTGTTAAACTCAAACAGAAATCTTGGACATCATATCTGAGCAGTGTTTGTGTGAAAAAGCAGAAAACAGGCCAATTTAAAAGTTGCTTCATCATTTATATATTTAATTCTAATTTTATTTTTACTTTATTTTTCAAATGGCTTAATTCTTTGTTTTCCACAGTGGCATTCAGTCACTTTATTTCGTATTTAAAAAAAAAGCTTATTTTATGTTTGAAAGTGTAACGTTTAGGTTCTGATCATCTCTGCAGACAGTTTAACACCATTCATCACACCAGCTGAGAGTTGCTGATTTTTTTTTCTTCTTAGTGTCAGTATTAAATCTGGACATTGTGGCTGTAATGAACACTGTAGCCTGCAGGGGGAGCTGGCACAACTCAGTGATTTGGGTTTCCATGTTAATGCTGATGTAAACTTTTATCAAACTGTGGCTTTAAAAACATCAGAGATGATCAGAAACTGAAGTCACATGGGGACATTTGACCCGACTGCTCACAGCATTACGGGAAGTCCGGGACAATGCATTCACTGTCAATCTGACTGAAACATGTTTCTGTTTGTGAATGAAGTCATTCTATTCAGTAATCAGCTAGTTCCTGCCAGCAGACATATGGAAAGCTCCGTGACCTCCAACCTCAGCTGCTGCAGCAGGTCGGTGGCCTCCAACCTCCGGAGAGAAGGTCTAGATCTTCTCCACATAGTTTCCAGGAAACATCCCCTCTTTGCCCCGCAATCGTCCGAACCACCAACCAGACGGATCTGAGGACAGAGATGAGTATGAGTGCTCGGTACATATAAAGACCAGAATGTGAATTGGTCTGCTTTTAAATTACATAGCCTGCAGTTACTTAATGACACTGGCAGTAATTTAAAAGGAGATAAGAGCAGAAGAGTTGGCAGCTGTAGCAGTAGTACTACTAACAGTAACAGTAGCATTAACAGCAGCAATAGTATTAAAATAGTAGTAGCTATACTGCTAACAGTAGTAGCAATAGCTGGATTAAGAGCAGTACTAGCAACCGTAGTAGCAGTACCTTCAGTGAGTATTTCAATGACATCTTCAGCGTTAAAGCTGAGCTCGTCTGTGTCCTGGGCATCGTAGGCGTACAGAGCTCTGCATTGAGGAGACCGAGGTTTCGGTCTGGGTGCCGGTTTGGGTCGACCTGCTCCAGGAGGAGGCCTCACCTCCTTCGATCGCCGCCGGTGCAGCCTGCAAGCAACATGCAGGGAATGCAGTACTGTGTCATATATTTACAGTGAAGCAACAGTGTTTTAAAGTTGAGGGTTGATGTGACTGGAGCAATGCTGGTTCAAGTCCCTGAGGGACATTTACCCTGACTGTACACAAGGTTATGGGGACACCGTCATCCAGGTGGTGTCAGCAGGTGGGTAGTGCTGATACTGCTGACACAGGTTAAACTAGCTCTGAATAGTTACTAGTTAAATACTGCTGTGATTGGCTAAACTAGCAATACTTGTTATACCAGTGACAATTAATGTAGGACCAGAACTGCTGGTTACACTGTAGTAGTGATGCTCATTACTGGTTATAAAGGTGGCCCTGGTTCTACTGGTTATCCTGGATTTCTCCCAATGGTCTCACCCTGCGGCACCCTCTTCAGGGACGTCCATGAAGCCCATGTCATATTGCTGCGGGAGTCGACTGTCGGGGTAACGAGGGCTCTGGATGCGAGGCAGACTGGGCTGCTCCATGCTGGAATGTTGCCTGAGTAGGGAGCCTCTGGAGGAGGAGGAGCTTCCTCTGGGCGCTCTGCCCCCTTTGGAGAGAGGTGCTAGAAAAGAAGTTTAAAAAAAAAAAATTACATCCAACATGGCAAGTGATGCCCTGACACCTGAAGGTTTTTAAGCTGGTACCTGAGTTGTACTGGCTGGTGTGCGGGGCCTTGCTCCCCATGTAGCGACTCTTGCGGTTGTCCCTCCTTGTTGGTCCTACAAACAGACAGGAGGTGAGGAGCAGCCCACAGGGTGCTGTTACAGCAGCTGAATCCCGTCAGAACTTACGTGAGTTTTTAGGTAGACCCGGTCCAATTGAGACCTGTAGCACCTTCCCACTGGGCTTCAAGACAGCTTCATCACCCTGACCCACCTGGAACTGGATCTGTCTGGACCCTGCAGAGCTGAATGGACCCCACCCACCCTTCTTCACCTTAAACTCCAAACTAAAGGGCAGAGACAGGGAGGGAAACAAGTTCAGTTTAAATCCTGAAAACCGCTACAGGTGTTTTAGCTCCACGTTAGCAGGTCAGTGGATCGCAATGTCTGATTCAGCTGACAACAGCTGCAGATGTTACAGGAAGAATGACCTATGTAGAAAACTCTCTGTACTCACAGGTTGTTGAATTTGAGTGGCAATTTCTTCTGAGTTTTGTCCTGATAACGTTTCACCAGAAGACTCAGGAACTCAGTTTTAAAGACGCTCTGAAGAACACTGTCATACTCCACCTCATGGATAATGAAGAAGTCATCCTGCAGGGTGCTGAAAGACAGGAAGAGTGCAGAGTCATTATATGCAATAATTAGGATTGTGACTAGCCTTAGGAAAGAAACTGTTCATAAATCTGGTGAATCGTGCTTTCTCCTCGGGGGCAAAGGTCAAATAGATAACGGCCAGGGTGGGAACAGTCTCCAACAACGTGTTTAGCTCTGAAGAGGTAGCGGGTATTCACAGTGTCCTGGAGTGAGGGACACTCAGCTTTTTTTGTGGGCTGCTGAGAAACCAGCATACCCCACTGAGGCAGTATGTTAGCGCACTCTCTATAGCAGAGTGGTAGAAGGCCACCAGCAGCTTACTGCATAGATTGTTCTTTTTTAGGATGCGCAGGAAGTGTAGCCGCTGCTGGAGAGGCTGTCACATGGGTTCCCAGGAATTTGAGACTGTGATCTCTTTCCACACAATCTCCATTTATGAAGATGGGAGGTGGCCCACTCTGCACTTCCTGACGTCTGAGTTCTTTCAGAAGGTTTTTGTGTTCAGTATCAGGTTGTTGGCCTCAATAGGCGGACTCATACCCTCTTGAGATTAGTCCAACTACTGTGGTGTCATCCGCATATTTAATGACAGAATCGGAGGTATGGATTGTTGTGCACTTGTATGTGTAGTGAATAGAGTGGAGGGCTCAGCACAGCCTTGTGGGGAGCCAGTGTTGAGTGTAAAGGTGGAGGAGAAGTGGGGGCCGAGCTTAACAGACTGATGGAGGTTTGTGAGAATGTCCATGAGATGTGAGCAGGGAGTCCCAGGTGGAGCTGTTTCCTGATCAGTATGTCTGGTATAATGGTATTAAAGACTGAGCTATAATCAATGAAAAGCATCTGGACATAGGTCCCTCTGTGTTCCAGGTGATCAAGTGCTGTGTGTAGCGCTATGGTAATGGCATCCTCTGTGGACCTGTTTGACCTGTATAGGAATTGATGGGGGTCAAAGGTGGGTTTTAATAGTCTCACAAAGCAACCTCAGAACAATGCAAATAAGTGTGATGGTTCTGTAATCACTTAGACCATCTACAGCAGGCTTTTTTGGAACTGGGATGATAGTGGCGGATTGAAGGCAGGGTGGGACAACAGCCTGTGCCAGACACACTGAAGATCAGAATCAGAATCAGCTTTATTGGCCAGGTGTGTCATCTCCACTGTTATGAGTGTGCCTGTTTGTGAAGACAGCAGCAAGTTGATAAGCACACGCCCAGAGTACCTTGTCGGGTCCTCCATCCATGCCAGCAGCCTTCCTTGGGTTCATCAATTTGAACACCTGCTTTACACAGCATGTACTTGGGTCATGGTATCGGGTAGAAATCTGTGTGAAAGCAGAGCCTTCATCTCAAACTCTGCTAGCAAAGCATTGATGCTGGAGCTTGTGGTGCCTTTATAGTTTGTAATATGCTGTACTTGTTACAGCTGCCTTGTGTTGTTATTCGTGAAGTGGTCCACACACCTCTTTTTAGGTTGGCTCTCACAATACCGTACATGGCCCTGTCTCCTGACTTTAAGGCAGGGGGGCAGCTGGGCCTCAGGGAATAGAGCGGTCATCTCCCCATTGGAAGGTTGGTGATTTGATTCTCTGTATTGCCAGTTCTTGTGTTGAAGTGTCCTTGCGCAAGACACTGAACCCCTAGTTGCCCCTGGTGGCCAGGCAGCAACTGACAGTGCTGGCATCGGTAAAAAACTTCCTCACGGGGATTAAGATTAAACTTTCCTTTTTGATAAAGCTTATAGTTAGGGGCTGGCTCAGGTGAGCCTGAGCCTTCCCTTAACTTTGCTGTTATAGGCCTAGGCTGCTAGGGAGTTTTTCCTGTCCGCTGTCACCAAGTGCTGCTCAAGGGGGATTTGTGGGTTTTTCCACTATAATATTAATAACATTAAGGCCTGGCCCTGGTTCTATTTCTAGATCTAGCTGAAGTTTTTTGGCTTCTAATTGTAGTACAAGTGATACTAGCTTCTAACTCTGCTTTCTGTTCAGAATTTTGCCATGGCTTTAGGTGTGGTTCTATCACTAGGTCTTGTTCTAACTATGCCCCTGGACCTAAATGTAGTTCTATTTCTAGTTCTAATTCCAGTTGTTGTTCTGGTACTACTTCAGATATTGAACTTGGTCCTGGTCGTATCTTAGTTACAGTTTGGGTCACACCTGTAGTTATAGATCAAATTCTGGTCCCGTTTTTAATTGTACTTCTAGTTCTGACAATGGTTGGTGTAGTTCTACTTTTAGGTCTGGTTCCAGTTGTAATTCTGGTCTTGGTTCCAGTTCTGGTTCTGCCCCTAGTTTTGGTTTTACTTCTGATCGAGGTTCTTTTATTTGTCTTTCTTCGACTTTTCACTCTGACTCAAGTTCTAGTTCCAGTTGTGTAACTAGCTGTAATTCTAGTTCTATTTCAGATCCTGGACCCGTCATTGATTCTAGTTTTAGTACCTGCCCTGGCTCTAGTTCTTGTAGTCCTAGTTGTGGCCCTGGTTCTGGTAATAGTTTTAATGCTAGTTTTAATACTTTGTCCTGGTCAAACTTCTGGCTGTGGCTCTGGTAATAGTTCTACTTGTGGTGCTAGTTCTAGCCCAGGTGGTAGTTCTGGTACTAAATTTGGAGCTGGTTCTATTGGTATACCTCAGGGAAACAGATTGGATCTTGTTGAGCTCGATCTTCCTTTTGAGAACCTCCTGGATCTGGCCCTTATCTGGACCCTGCTTCACCTTCTCTCGACCAATCAAGTACAGGAACTTTGGGGTCAGGATGAGGTCACGTTTCACAGTCTGTGGACACAGAATCAGAGAGATCAGGCCAATGTGATGGTTTTGTGTCTTTAGGTCAGTCTGACTGACTTTCCATCACAGCATGTTAACAGCAACTACAGACAGAGGTTTCCGGCTGAACAGCAGCTGCGCTGTAGTCCAGGAACTCACCAGCTACTGTATGTTAACCGGATTTTCCAAGATTGAGGTGACATTCACAGAGAAGCAGAACTCTTCCCTTAAGCAGAACCAGGAACCTGAATTTACCTGGTTTAAAGACTTTCCTTGTCAAGGTAAGTCTTATAGCCCTGAGAGCAAATCTAAAGAGGTAAACCAGCATTTTGGTAAAATATGTGAGTTATTTTCCACATCAAGCTGTATGCTGTTTATACCTGTGACCAACAAAGTATGAGCTCTGGTCTTGGATTATGTCACTTACCTGTCAGAACAGAGTAATCTGAAGTAAAGTCAGTGCAGGGTGATTTTATCTTTCTAAGATAGACCTCGTTTGAATACAGCACAGAGCCTAACTTGAGCACAGAGAAAGAAGGAAGGAAACAAAGGGTTGTCCCCTTTGTTTCCTTCCATCAATCAAACTGTTTAAAGGTCTGTAATATTTACCTTGAATCTTCTGTCATATTTGACCACAACATCTGCAAAGTCGATCCTTTCTCTGCGGCCGACGAACTGTCTGACCTCAGGATGGTTGTCTGTCCCAATGTAGTCGCCCACAAAGTTCCTGTTGATGCTGTTTCT